CTAATGATTGTAGTCAGTGATGTACTTACTGTTTTAGTGATAGTGTAATAATTGTAGTCAGTGATGTACGTACTCTTCCAGTGATAGTCTAATGATTGTAGTCAGTGATGTACATACTCTTCCAGTGATAGTCTAATGATTGTAGTCAGTGATGTATGTACTCTTGCAGTGATAGTCTAATGATTGTAGTCAGTGATGTACTTACTGTTTCAGTGATAGTCTAATGATTGTAGTCAGTGATGTACTTACTGTTTTGATAACAGTCTAATGATTGTAGTTAGTGATGTACTTACTGTTTCAGTTATAGTCTAATGATTGTAGTTATTGATGTACTTACTATTTCAGTTATAGTCTAATGATTGTAGTCAGTGATGTACTTACTCTTCCAGTTATAGTCTAATGATTGTAGTCAGTGATGTACTTACTGTTTCAGTGATAGTCTAATGATTGTAGTCAGTGATGTACTTACTATTTCAGTGATAGTTTAATGATAGTAGTTATTGATGTACTTACTATTTCAGTGATAGTCTAATGATGTTTTTATGATGTTACATGTATAGCTGCTATTAAGTAACACTGTAGTTAATGTTCTGTGATGAATGTTTGATTTTGTGTAATATTAGTTGTCTTGGAAATTTTGTTATAATCAGTGCTCTATTTCAGGGGAACAGTATTCCTCTTGTTAAAATAAATGTTTTGTTTTATTAGGAACAAAGTGATGTCTATGGAGGTTTTTTTAGAGGTCAACTTTAGTTACTGCCTTGATGGAGGTACAGATGTACAGTTTGTGCTACTGATTTCTCCTGTGCCAAATATTATCTTCATCAACTATTTAAGGATTTTACTTTGTTGTTATTGTTTGACCAATGAGTTAATTAAATTGATGGTATATATATATATTGGAGTACCATTATAATTTATCTTTTTTCTCATTGTACTTACAGAGTTCCCTTTGTAAAGTATTTTCAGTGTATGTGGTTGTAATAAGATTGTGATGATAATTAATAGTTTTTCTGGGACTTACTCAGGAACCTTGAAGATGGCGTCATAGCAACGTACGAAGAACACGAAGACAGTGTTTATGCAGCAGAATGGTCCAGTGTCGATCCGTGGTTGTTTGCTTCGCTCAGCTACGACGGAAGGCTCGTTCTGAACAAAGTTCCTCGAGCAGAGAAATATAGAATACTACTTTAAATTTATCATGGAAGGATGTACGTGTGCCTAATAATTTAGTGACTGTATCAGTAACGTGTAATCTTATACAGACATCATGGTCAGGGAAAGGTGTCCTTAAAATATCAGGTTTGCAAGTCCAGATGGAAGTTGTGGTTAAAAAATAATACCGACAGACTAAACAACCGAATGAAATTATAAACTTTTAGAAGCAATCTGTCGGACGTTTGAAAACATTTTGGTCTATCAGATGGAGTAGTTATAAACCTGTACTGATTTCATTGAACATGTGAAAATTATCCCTTCTGATGTCATTGTTATCCGTTGTCTACAACCTACTTCGTATATCACAATGTCACATCTTATGTTTTTATCTGAACATATTTTACACCAATGATAATAACAAGCAAACAACAACAAAAATGTGGTGGGTGGACACACAATTCGAAATAAAAATAAATAAAGTATGACAGAAAAGAAATAATTTTTGGGCTTATCAAAAAATAAAAAAATGTAAACAAATAGAGAAATGAAATATAAGAAATTTGATCTCTTTCCACTAGATGGTAAATGTTGGCTGATTAATGTTGGAACACTGTAGTGAAAGGTGGTAAATGTTGGAATACTATAGTGAAAGCTGGTAAATGTTGGTTGATTAATGTTGGAATATTGCAGTGAAAGCTGGTAAATGTTGGTTGATTAATGTTGGAATAT